AAAAAAAAAAAAAAAAAAAAAAAAAAAAAAAAAAAAAAAAAAAAAAAAAAAAAAAAAAAAAAAAAAAAAAAAAAAAAAAAAAAAAAAAAAAAAAAAAAAAAAAAAAAAAAAAAAAAAAAAAAAAAAAGGCTTTTTAATTCTTTTTTAATTCCGCTTTAAGCACAATAATACACGCTAAACTTAATGGTAAGTAGTACTTACCATCGTTCATAGACTGATATCCACATACGACTTCATAAAAAATTTACTATTCAAGAGCTACCAAAGTGGGACAGGTTGGAAAAAACAATTATAAATTTTTCGCGTTGGGTTTGGTTGAGTTTTTCGCTCTACTCTGCCTAGTTCTGTCGTCAAACCGCTGAGTATTCTTGTTTATACTGTAGATCAGTCATTATCCAATTGAGACTTCGACTTCGTGTCTCAAAGAGGGTGGCGGCCTTCATACTGCGACATCTCCGAGCGGCGACTGCCACCCCCCAGCCATTTAGATTATAATTATATCTAACAAGTGCCACGACCTGGCCTACCATCCGTTTCCTGGTGACATTGAGTTAGCACACCCTGCACGTGTGACCGAGCCCGCCGACCACATATTCTTTATTTAAATAACTTAAATTTCTACAAATAAACTATGTAATGAGAAAGTACAAGTACTTATTTGTGTATTTGCAATACGACTGCACTTTCTTCGTAAATATTTACACGAAGTGAAATGCAGTATTTGTTCATTCTAGGCGCAATTCTGGTGAATTTTAAACGTGTCTTTAAGCGTAGTTTTTTTTCTAAATTGTATTCATGGTAAGACGAGCTCACAGTCGATCTAGGGTTAGGTGGCTAAAGATAAAACGTAATGTTAGCACGCACGGGTACGCAACGCCATTTATTGGTTTAATTATCTCGCGAACCCGTAATCTGCGGAAAAGTTTGGCCCTCACTTCACACGAGCTTATGGCTGGTGCGCCCTAAATCCTCCAATCATGTTTTTTAATTAGTAGTTACCAGCCTTTTACGTTTAGAGAATTAATTCCTTGCAACCCAGTACTTAACTTTTTTTTCGTGCATCGATGCTAAGACAGAGCCTTCGCACCTAGGGAGCTTGCGGGGTATGTAGAACTTGACGGTCTGCAGATGCTGGAAGCAGACCACGGGCCCTATCCACTATAGGATTCTTTCTGCACTCTCTCACCCGACGTCATTGCTCATTCGAAACAGTGTATTCTCGAGTGAGAGATAAACTATAAGTACACAATAACGCTACTACTCTGTTGCTCCGCTATACTTCGACTGTAACAGTAATCATGCATGTGGACCACGCAATGCTGTAATTGATGTAATTGTTATTAAAAGTTGACGTACAGTGAGCACGCGCTCCGGTGGACGCCCTTCCCAAACGGATAGGGTTACAAACTTTTGAAAACTACGTAATTTACAGATATTTTAGCCACCGGAACCTGTGTAAGCAGCAGCTGTTAGTGATCTGGAATTTAATATAACTTAGAATCAAAATACTTAATATTATATTTAATGAAAAACAAGCTATGTGAGAGATGATAGTTTGTCACATTGAACTAGATTTCACAAACATTTCTTCAAATGATCTTTAGTACGAAACATTTTGAACTTTCGCGTTAAATTACACAAGAAAAATTTATCAATATTTCCTACCACGATTTACAACTACACGGTAATGCAAGTTCCATTTTTCCAAATGAAAAGACGAAGATATTACACTATACAGCCTAATCTTTTATATATTCTGTTTAAAAAAAAAAACAGAGCGAAATGAAATGAAATTGATTAATTTGAGATATTAATCTGTTGGGATGAAATTAAATGATAGACAGTGAAACGGTGGTTTGTTATTGAGACTTTTCTCAAGAAGCTTGGCTTTGTTTCATTTACCCACATTTGTGCACTTTCACAGATACTAAACAGTTAATAAACCGCCGTTATTACACATTTAAACCTAATGAAACACTAAATTAACAAAATAAAACTATTCACAGAATTTCGCGCCTTGCTTTCCCGCCAAAAATCTTACAATTATACATTTCTCCCACCATCAAATTCACAAATAATTAAAACGCAGAAGTAGTCAGAAAATATCATTCTGAACTCACTAGTAAGCAATATGCGCCAATATTCATTTTATACCGCTATATCACTCTAGGTTACAATAAATTTTTTCTTCTATCCTTTGTATTGCCACAAATTTTGATTGTATTCCTGCATTTTACCAGTGGTTTCCGCTTAAGCACACTCTTCCTACTAGGTGGCGTTAGTTGTTATTATGTTGAGTTAATTGAGCGATTTGTATGTGCCACTGTTGGCTAAGACCTGGTTCCTGTTGTCGCTAGGTGCGGTCATAATAAAATTCAACAAAAAACACAGGATTATTTTCTGTTGGCAACCCTACAATGCGAGCAGCACTATCACCGAGACTGCGTTACGCGTTCACGCGCCACAACCTTATTCTAAGAATTACGCTTTTTAAATGACCATTTAATATTTAGGGCGGTAACTGTTTTTTTATTTAAATAAATGCGTTACGTTCGCTGTAAGCGGCAAGCACGAATTATTATTTTAGTCAGTTACTGTCTTCTTGTTATTGTTTTCGTAATAAGCATCCGCCAGTGCGAGATACGACAGTTAATTATACGAAATAACGAAATAGTATAACATTGAAAGAGCCCACTGCGGTTCGCGCTAACAGTGCCCTATCATCGTCTGTCCACGCGTCCTTGGACTAATAGGTACAAGTACCCAGTGCACGCAAATTGACAAATTGAGAAACGATATTAGCGATAGCCCTCTTCGTAGCAGAAATAGAGGGGACCAAAATACTCACCCTGGTTGGCACCTGGGTTACAATACGTGCATACTTGCGGACTTAAATTGATACGTTTTTCGAGTTTCATTATTCTCTTGTAATTGGAGTTTTAGCAAAAAGGCCTGCGAAACCCGCCTGCGGGTTGCGATTGTAACATCGCATAGTGTATACCACTGCAGCGGGCGTCTAATCCTCGAAAGCCAGCGCTGCAGTATGCACATCAACAGAAGTACTACTTAACTCAGTTGCCCATGGCCAGCGTTGAAATGATTCCTTGTTGACAGGAGCTGTGCACGAGGCCTGCATTCCGGGGCGAAGGTTTCAATGATGGAGTCACTGAAGACGAGAATGATGATGACTTTGCTGCGAGGTAACTTAGAAATTTCACGCTAAGTTTATTCTGGTGGGATGGCCTCGTTCTTAATAGCTTTAGAAGGCCCAACTGAAGGTTTTTTGTGGGTTACACGGGTGAGCAAGGTTATTTCTCAGCTGATTTTAAGTGCCTACTGGAGCCCATAGACATCTGTAATGTAAATGCGCCATCAATTTTGAGATATAAGTTCTAAGGTCTCAGTATAGTTACAACGGCTGCCCCACCCTTCAAACCGAAACGCATTACTGCTTCACGGCAGAAATAGGCAGGGCGGTACCTACCCGCGCGGACTCACAAATGGTCCTACCACCAGTAATTACGCGAATTATAATTCTGCGGGTTTCATTTTTATTACACGATGTTATTCCTTCACCGTGAAAGTCAATCGTAAACATTTGTTGAGTACGTATTTAATTTGAAAAATTGGTACCCGCCTGAGATTCGAACACCGGTGCATCGCTCAACACGAATGCACCAGACGTCTTATCCCTTAGGTCACGACGACTTCAAATTGTGCATACCCGTGCGGACTTACGACCCGCCCCACCACCAGTCTGTGTGATAAGCTTTATAATTTGACCGCAGATGGAGTATAGAGGTGGGTGCCGTCGGCGACAGCAGCTTATGCTGTGCCGTTGCAGCCCTGGCACTCACCCCTCGCCTTCTGGACCGGGTGATACCGCCGCAGACCTTCAAGGTCCACTACAATGGGTCTTTTAAGTAAGTTCCCAAAACTCAGGCGGATCAGATATATGATATAGACATGTGGCGGGTAGCCATCATACAACGCAAGATATTTAACAGATGCCTGAATCTCGCTTACTAGCTAGCTAGCTTGCATATATACAAGTTCCGAACAACAATATTCTTGCCCAAAACACGTCATCTCGGATCCTCCCGATCCACTAACGGTGCTTTTAGGTACCCCAAGCACCGGTCATCGTTCTCGTCGAGCCCGTCGCTTGCGACGAAGGGCTCGACGAGTAAATTAACCCCCAGACACAGCCCACTGAATTTCTCACCGGATCTTCTCAGCGGTCACGATTCCGATCCAGTGGTAGATTCTGCGAAGCATGACTCTTGCTAACATCGTCAGGTTTGACCTCCTTGCGCTCACCTACTAGCCCGGTGACGCTGACATGGTCTCTCTAGACCGATCAGCTAAAGAACTAAGGTAGGAAAAAAAACAACATTCGAACCGTCGGTCTACCGAACAATAACACCCGCTCGGTGGAAAATCTTCCCTTTGTCGTATCCCCACAGACTGTATGTTTGCGAAACTGGAACAAGCGAGTGGCCGCGCGAAGACCACCAACAACACGATAGAGATGGAAATGTATCAAAAAGGGACAGCAACAAGCATTGTTTATTGATGTTGGACTAATGTATTGTGCTGGGAGGGCGGGGCGCGCAGCTCAAGGCGGGACCGCGGGATCACCCAGACGCGCACTAGTCTCAAATTGTTATGATCACGACTAACCTTATAAGTAGAAGTACAAACACCACTGTTATTTTCGAAGCAAGCAATTTTTTTCTAATTTTTTTTTTATTGCTATGTTTGTGGACGAGCTGACGGCCCACCTGGTGTTTAGTGGTTACCGGAGCCCATTGACATCTACAACGTATATGCCGTCACCCACCTTGAGATGTGAGTTCTAAGGTCCTACTAAGAGGTTCTACCACCAGTAATTAGGCAATTTTTTTTTTTTTCGCGAATTTGATTTTTAGGTACGATGTTATTCCTTCACCGTGGAAGTCAATCGAGAACATTTGTTAAGTACGTATTTCATTAGAAAAATTGGAACCTGCCTGCGGGATTCCAACACCGGTGCATCGCTCGATACGAATGCACTGGATGTCTTATCCTTTAGGCCACGACGATTTCATGATTTCAGACGTGCTCTTACCACGATTCCGATCCTTAAGTTCAAGATATTTAAATGCTATTGCTGCATCATTATTGGTACCCTCCAGACGGAATAGAAAAAAGGTCAGGTATTTCGTAGTCCCTACCCGAAGCATAGGATCAGATTTACACAATATCATTTCCAGAGCCTGTTAATAGATATTATATTATACTACATATATTTATTTTATTACTGAGAATATTCAACACAATTCTGAACTGTAAATGCCGTTTATACTTTATTACTAAAAAGGAACATGATAGTTAAATCGTAAACAAAATGATATGCATATATCCATTGTCTGCGCCATTTGCTGTAAAAGTTAATTACAGATTACATTACCCTCGGTACATAACGATTAGATCTAATTTAGTGTCCGGCAGGGGAATAAAACCTGAGACAATGGGTTGTAAAGTGCGTGCCGCGATGCCACCGCAGTAATTAACACTGACCTTGCGCGGATATTTGATCTTTTATTTATTATCGGACTAACGCCTACGGAGTCTTGTACTTGTCCCAGGGCAAGAGCCGGCCGGGGCTCCGACAACGCGCTTCGCCACCCTAAGGGCCCAATCCCGCTCCAATGATAGGAATGCTGACTTAATTTTCAAACGTAATTTTTTTAACCGTTACCCATAAATTTTAAATCATCAATATTTTAAGTACCCACGTAATTAAAACTGCTTTTACAGTTTCGTCTCGTGTTTTGTATTGTCATTGTTATTTCCATCGTTTCCAATATATTTTTCGTGGTCACAGACAAAATAATGGAATATCAATAGAAAATTAGGGATTAAATCGTGAAAGTGGTTCTAATTAACATAATATACCATAAACTATATTATTATTAGAAAAATTGAATTTGGAATTGATGATTTATGATTGATTGATTTTATAAGAATTTTGCATCAGAAAAATTGAATTTAGAACTAATGAGTTACGATTGATTAGCTTTCATAAGAATTTAGCATCAGAAAAATTGAATTTAGAATTGATGATTTAGGGTTCATTAGATTTCTTAAGAATTTAGCATCAGAAAAATTTAATTTAGAATTGATGATTTAGGGTGAGATTAGATTTGATAAGAATTTAACATCAGGAAAATTGTGCGATGCGTGTTCAGCTAAGAGAGGCGCCCAGGATGGCGCTGAACTACGAGAGTAACTCGCAGATTTATCCCAAACATGGAATATTAACGTGCAATTCTGTAACATTCATGAGAATGCTCGGGACTACGCTCTGCTCTTTATCGCCGTCCGTTCATCTTAAATAAGTTTAGCATAGTTTGCAAACAGTCGCTACTATCTGGGTTTCTCTCGTTCCAACTTACAGTTGATTTATATTAAATTGATGGAAACGTGAAAATCATTTGTGTTGAAAATTACTTGGAAAATTATTGATTATTGATTAAATCTATATATTAATACGTGAAGTAAAAACTTTGTACCCCTTCCACGACAATTGTGCGGACGGATGAGTAGGAAATGTCCCACACTCATAGAGAATATAGAGAAGGAGTGCAGAATGTGAATATATTTTTAAATTATGCATAAAAAATACATTAAATCAATTTAAAAAAAACATTACACGCACTACCATATATTTGACACACACACACGCATACATACTATTTATTTATTGTCAAAATTTTCTTATTGCTTAAAGTCTGTGATCAAATTGAAAATAGCTTAAATATTGTTTGTCTTTATTAATATTTGTCTAAGGTGTAGATTAAAGAAGTATAATAGTCTTTGACAATAGAATCATAATAGGGTATAAACCTTTAATTTCAATTAATTATAATCGAATTTCGATTACCGGGCGACCACTAGTGTTAATAATGATGCAAAAAGGAAACTCTGTTTCTTGTTAAATTTTCTCATCGGTGAATTTTCATTCCGAATCGCTAGTAAAGTCATAAGACTATTCGAAGACCTTATTATGTTGTGAGCTGGATTGTAGTTCCTAATTAAAATACGTGGATCGCTAGCGACACTCTTATTTCTGCCCAGACATCCATTACTGTTGGTGTCACTAAGCGGAGCACTGTAATAATCACTAACCTATATTATTAAATAACCACATACGATTTAACTAAGTAAAATAGACACGCGAATGGATTCATGGTGACTATAAAAATGTCGGGGTGTCTGCCGGTGGCACGCTAATAGCGTCTGATGTATGAAGTCTTGCAAACTTGTAATTACACATGTCGTTTAATAAACATGTCCGCGACCGCCTGCTCTTTATACTTTTAGCCTGGGCAAGATTGTAGCTTTAAAAGGCTTGAGATTATGTACATATAACTAAATGAATTATCACAAATTAGTTAAGACTGATCATGAAAGGTGTTTTAAAACTCCGCACACTTTTTAAAAATGTTTACCTCTATCTTTTTTTTTTCTGCCTAAGCTGATAGCCTTGAAAGGCTATTTCAGCGTAAACTTAACTAGTAGGTGAGCTCACGGGGCTCAAACCGGAGTGATGCTAACATTGACCCTAACAAGAGCAGTGCTTCGCCGAATCTACCAACGGATCGGAAATGCGACCCACTGAGAAGTACCGGCGAGAAACTCAGTGGGCTGTCTCTATGGGTTAATTCGCTGGTCGAGCCCTTCGTCGCAAGTGACGGGTTCGACGAGGACGGTGACCGGTGCTTGTGGTACCTAAAAGCACCGTTAATGGATCGGGAGGATCCGTAATGACGTTTTTTTGGGCGACGTCGACTACCTCTATCAATGTACCTAGTCAGGTCATAAATTCTGTCACATGTTTAATGTAAAATAATTGAAACAAGTTTATTCATTATGTAACCATTCATATACCAAAATGAACTTAACAAAACATAGATTCTTATGACACTAAAGTTTATTCAAAATGACCTCCGTGATTTTGAATACAGGCCTTCAATCTGCGCGGCCAGTCGTCTATCGCAGCACGAACGAGGTCCATGTCAATATCGGCGGCTGCCTTAATCAAGGATGTCTTGAGTGACTCCAAATTGGGATGAGGCTTTAAGCACGCCTTTTCCTCCAAGTGTTGCCATATCTTGTAATGTAACGGATTCAAATCTGGACTGGAGGAGGGCCAGTCTTCGTGCCGGATGAAGTCGATTTCACGCGCCGCCAGCCAGTCTTGTGTGCTCTTCGCTCTATGAGCTGGCGCAGAATCTTGTTGGAATACCCAGTGCCTGTTATTGAACATGGTATGAGAAACAGGTTCCACAAGGTTCGTCAGGACTGTATTTTGATACACAACTGCATTCGTTTTTACACCTTTCCTTCAAAAATGTACCTCTGTTAAGCCCCAATAAGAAACTCCCAACCATACCATGAGCGAGGATGGAAAATGACCTCGTTGGACACGCGGAATACGGTTGCTCGCTTCTTCACTACTGTGTGCGTACACCTTATCATTTTGTTTGTTGTAGCTCTCTTCTACGGTAAAAATTTTTTCATCCGAAAAAAATATCTCCCGATATTTTTTTCCCGCGTACCGCTTCAACAAAGCGTGGCATCTCTTCAGACTCAGGTCCATTAGACGAGCATTCAAACGATGTCCTGTTTTTCTTCGATATGCCCGAAGCCCTAAGTCTTCATTTAACACCCTTTTCACTGTGGTTCTGCTTAACCCCATCTGCAGGGCCAACAGTTTCTACTTACGTTTGGAATTTCTTTGAAATCGCACCTTCACAGCTTTTATCACTGCTGGAGTCCTAACAGACCGAGGGCGACCACTTTTTGACCTGTCATCTACACTAGAGTCTTCATTGTATCGTTTGATGGTACGATAAACGAATTTTTTGGTTATATT